ATATCACATTCATTCTTTTCTATTCTTTCAACTATCGCCTCTATTTTGTGTCTATTGCCCTTTAACCCATTGATATTATGAACTGCTATTTTAATTTCTCTTCTCATTTCCATTGCTTCTAATTCTTTTTTAACTCCTTTTGTTCTTTCTCCTTTTTGGTTTGAACTCTGTTTGCCCTTATGTTGACATACAAGTTTTCCTTCTTATATGACTAGGGCTTTCTTTAATTCAACTAGTGCGACAAGTTAGGAGCAGTTTGGAGCCTTTAGCTCCAAAAAGTCGAACTTTTCTTCTAATCTTTGGGCGAGTTGTATTATGTAGTTTAGAGACATATCCTCACTTAACTAGAAGCTTGATCTATCACTTCTTGAAATTGTGTTATATCTATTTTACTTTCTAAGATTAGTTTCCTTTCTTTGTTCATAAAGATCTTCTTCTTTCTTACTTATATTTCTCTTGCTCATACTGTATATTTTCCATTCATTTCTTTGTGTATTCTCTGGTAATGAGATCTTTGCTTCTTTTTTGTCATCTTCTCTATATTTGTTTTCTGTTTTTACATATTTTGAGTACTCCCCTTCCTGTTCTTGTTCATACTCTCTTCTTTTCCCTAAACTTTTCTCACTTCTCCTTTGTACTATTACCTGTTCTTCTATTTTTGTATTACTTGTTGTTTCTGTTTCTTGCTTCCTTATTTCTAACCATTGTAGTTTGTTGTTATAGTAATACATTGAGAACTTTAGACTACTTACCCTGTCCTTTTCTTCTTTAAAATAAACTGTTACACTTCCCATTTTGTTATTATTTGAGTTTTTAAATATATGAAGTACTTTCGCTCCTGTTTTCTTAACTTGTCTCTAAAGGAGTACTTCATTTGTATTCTCAGGTAAGTCTAGCAATCTTAGACTATATTTGCTTCTTTCATAGAGCATGTTCTGGTTATTAGTACTTAGTGTTATTCTTACTAGAAGTTGATCCATAAATGGTAAGCACTATGTTTCTTCTATTTTCTTCTCATCGTACGTTCCTGATTTGAATTTAACTTCTGCTCTTGTCTTATCATATATAGTTCTTATTATTTCTATATGCTCAACCCTTCCTATGAAGTGTACTGTTTCAAATACTTGAGTTCTTTTCGTCTATGTTAGGAGATCCTAAATTGTTATCTTGTTACTATTTTCTACTAATTGTAGTACTTCTTCATTGTCTTGTTTCGATATATTTTTGTCTTTTCTTAAGGGTTCTTGCTGTTTAATTATTTCCTTACTTTTTTCTTCTCTTTGTTTGAAAATTTCTTCTAGTTCTTTTGCTACTTGGTTTTCTCTTTTAATTCTTCTTTTAAAATCTTCATCTTCCTTCTTGTAACTTTCTTACATTGGTTTGTTTGTCTTTTCTTTTATCTTTTCTTCTACTATAAATTTAGCTCGCTTGTATTCCTCTTTTTTATTTTCTAGTATAAATCTTGCTTCTTCATAACCTTTTTGGTAACAAAACCTAACAATATATCAAAGATTCCCTTTCTCAAATCTTTTGCTTATATCTTTGATATATATGTTCCTTCCCATAGACCACTTTAGAGACTTTTTCTTATGTTCTTCGTTATTTCCTAGGACTTTGATAGCTGCTACTTTTGCCTTTACGTTTTTCCTTTTTTTACATCTATCTTTACTAGGTACCCATATGCTTTTTTCGAGTGATATATTTATTGCATCTTCTATTACATCTTTTCTTTTTTCTATATTTTTTTTGCATAGGTATTTTGTTTTGTCTTCGTTTATTTTGTTTTCTATTTCCATCATATCTCTGTTTGTTTCTTTCTCGCTTGTTATATTTATTTGTTCATTTTGTCTAATCTCGAATTCTTCTATTCCTTCTACTTCTTCTTAGCTATTTAACTTATCTGCTATCTGCATCTCTTCTTCTGTTGTTTCTATTTCTGCTTTATTTATAATTTTAGTAATTTCTATCTGCATATTTTCTTCTTGTAACAAAATGATTTCTTTACTTTCATTTTTCTTTTCATTAGTTGCAATACTTATATTTTCTCGTTCGATTACTTTTTTGATATTTTCCATTCCTTCATGCATTGCTGCTCTTTCTAATACACTTCTCCACTCTCTAGCTACTGTAACTATTTCACTTTCTACATCTAAAATTTTAGCTATTATTTTATCGATATAGCTTTCAAATCTTTTTACTGAATTACTACTTCTATCAAAGATTTCCTTTCCATATTCTTTAGTTATTTCTTTAACTATTCTTATTGAGTTATCTTTGTTTCACATCTTCTAAGTTTAGCTTTTGTCATAGTGACTTTGTCTTTTTCTACAAATTCCCTATGAATTTTTAAAATATTGAATTTGTTTATATCTGTAAAAGAGTAGTTTGATATGATTATATTAATGAAAGATCTGAGAGAACTATCTATTAGCTTGCTTTTTCAAGTTGTTGCTACTCTTATGCTACCTGTTGTTATATCCTATACTTCTAGTACTAGATTAGATAAAAGATTTTCTTTTACCAACTCATTAGCTTTATCATTCTAGTAATTCATGCTATAGCCTTTGACTTTAATTAGCTTCAAATCAATATTTTTAGTTCTGTAGCAATTTATAATCTGATTAATTAAGCTATAGTTCTTAGTTTTAAACATACTTTTTATATTTAGTCAGCTTTTAAAATCTTATATTTCCTTTATTACTACATTACTATTAGAATATATTCTCACTTTTAATTCAGCAGAAGCTACTAGCAAAGTTGCTCATATTGTATCTAGTTCTGCTTAAGTTGAAGAGAGCCAGTTGGCTATTCTACTATTATCAAATGAACTTTAGCATATTTTCTTAATTATTTATTATTATATTATATTTGATATTTAGATTTATATATTAGCATTTCTTTCGAATTCTTAATAGCTAAAATAGATTTAGGTTATACTATTCAATGTAGCTCGATTAGACCTTCAAAATGAGCTATAAATCATATCTGTAGCATATGTAGTTCTTGAGTTATCTTAGAATTTATATTTTGAGTAACATCTATGTTTGATGACATTTGATGATATTTGATGACGTTTAACTACATCTAATAAAGTTTAACTACGATTGATAATGTTTAGTTACGTTTGATGACAGTTAACTATGTTTGAAGATATTTAGAAAAAAGATATATAAATCCTAGCTTTTCTTCTCTCTTGTAAAGTAGTTCTGTATAGTTTTGTATAGTTCTGTATACAGTCCTGTAAAGTTTTGTAAAATTCTAATAGTTCTTGTATTAGTTTTATCAAGTTCTAAAATAATACAGTACTCAATAAAGTCCAAAGTCCTCTATTAATTCTTTAATAAAGTATATCTTGGCCTTGACAAAAATGCTTCCTTTAAACAAACTGCCATAGTGATGTGATATTTTACTTTGACACTATTGGAAGTCACTCTTCTGTATCTTATATTACTTGTAATATATTAAGAAAGCTATGCCACTTGTAATATTTTGGTGCCTTCTGGCAGAAAAGGAAATGAAAGACCTCTATCTGGTATATTATTCAACATGAGCAGATAATGATAAAACCATGAATAAACTATCAGAATTATAGTACATCTTATCCCAAAAGAAAATCCAAAGAGAAATTTCTTAGAACGATTTACAATTACTTATTGTATTTTGCTATAATCTCCATAAAAATCGAATATATAAGGATAAAACATATTCCATTCTACTTACAAGAACCTACTCTACAACTTTTATTAAGGTATATCTTAGTACTAAAATGCTTCTCAGGCCTGCAAATTGGCTTTAAAATTCTATTAGCATTTTCAAAAACGATTTTCTTAGAGAAGACTCAAGAAGAGAAGAAATATATAGTTTTGATGTTTATGAAAATCATCATATCTCAGCTTTCTGCAAACGGATTTTAACGTTAAAATATCAGTTAGAACCATAAAGACTTGGTCTACAACTTTACTTAAGACACCAAGTCAAGGTTACATAGTACGAATACTTTTCTGGAATAGCTTTTATGAAATTGATCTGTAAAATATCTTTTTCTTTCTGTGCCATATAGGCGAAAATTTTTAAAAATTTTTCCTACCTCTAACATGATAGATGACCCCCACAAAACTCATTACTTTTAGGTTATCACATACCTATAGTAACTAAAAAAAGTGAGTTTTAGAAACTTAGTGCAACTAAACTCTTAGATACCTTATAGAGTTTAAACAACTTTACCTTGGACATGTGACTTGCATATGTATATATTCTTGTAGATTATTATCTTGGATGATGCTTATACCCAACCCTATTGTAGATATAGACTTAGAACATTATGAATATTACTTTGAACATTCTATTTTACTTCATTTAATTCAAGACAGTTTGTTACTTCTGTGTAAAAGTGACTGAAGGTTAGCTAGCTTTACCTTATTTCAAAAGTCTTAAAGATTATTACAGATTTATTAAGAACAGTTTGCTACTTCTGAGCAAAAGTGAGCTGATGGCGAGAATGTCTCTACCCTTTGCAAAAGGCTATTGCATAAAAAGACTTACAGTTTGTCAATTCTGAGCAAGATATGACTAGTGGTTTGTATGTTGTTACTCCTCAAAAACATAGTAAATTTTAATTTAATTTATCAAGCTGAGAAGATTCAATTAAGTACCCTTGAACATTAATGCTTGGAAAGTTCTACTATGTACATATTAATGAAAAGTTTTAGATTTAATTTCTTTTAAAAACAAATTCTCTACAATACCCAGATGAAACATGTCTAGATGATAAGAATTCTCAGATGTAATATTCCTAGATAACAATAACAATAACAAATGGATAGCTCACAGCTTACTGCAACCCCACAGGATGAATAATACCCTGATGGTGAAGAGTACCCATGAGCCAAATTAGGTAGTCATAAGGACTCAACTATAGCTCGCAGCTTACTGCAACCCTACAAGAAGAATAATAACCTGATAGTGAAGTGTACCTCATGAGCCAAATTAGGTAGGCGTAAGGATACAACTATAGCTCACAGCTTATTGCAATCCACAGGAGGATAAATGTCCTGCTAGTAAAGGGTTTCCTAAGAGCCAAACATGTAGGTATAAAGACCCAATAAAATTTTGGAAATAGAAATTACAAATTAATATTTTTAATTACTTGGAAAATACTACAATATTTACAACAAACTTTTGCATCTCTAAAAATTTGATCTCTCTACTATGATCTCTTTATTTCAAAAACAATATTCTTCTTTCTTTTCTTATACTCTTAAATTTAATGACAAAAAACTTTCTGCTTAACATCTCTACCTCTCCTTCTTAATAACTTTATCCTCTTCTTGCCTTCTTTTATCTCTTTTACTCAAATCCCTTTTCATTATTAATTTTTATCAAAACATTATTTTTATTTTATTTTATTTTTTTTTATTATTCTCTTTAATTATTTTAATATTAGTCTTACTTTTCTTTTTTCTTGGTTAACAAAGTATGTAGTAGCTGTAACTATAAATAACAAGTATTATAACTTGTTAGCATATTTGTTAATCTGAATTTTGAAAACCATATATGATTGTTGATAGTATAAAATTATGAGTAGTAAAGGCTTCTTGTAAGCTCTAACTTATTTGAATGTGATGGATGCTATCTTGTTTTCTGTTCGTCTTGCTTTAAGTATAAAACAGAAAAGTCTTAGAATTCAAAGTTTTTACTACATATTGTAATTTATAAAAGGCCTTTATCTCTCAGCCTACTATGAAATCATAGGATCCAAATTTATTAATTCATTATTTTTTATTTTATTTTTATTTTATTTCATCACTTCATTTAAATATTTAATAATTATAATATTTAGAAACAAAAGTTATTTTAATAACAAAATTTTATTTATTTTATTTATTCATTCCATTTATTCACTTATCATTTTAGAGATTCAAAAGCTTCATATCAGCAATATACTGATCCAAATTCTTGTTACATATATATTTAATGGTATTTGAATTTTTCATTCTTTATCATTATTAAATACAAGGTTTGTAAGTTTCAGTTCTGAGTAAAAATGCTTCTGTTTGCTAATTACTATTTTTTGCTGGAACTCATTTAATATATCGAATACCTTTGACAAATTCATTGAGGCAAAAGCATAAGTTAATTAACAATCAAATAAAACTAGTAGCAAAATTATACTAAAAGTTTAAAATAGTTACGGGAGAGAAAAGATAGGCCGCAAATTACTCAAAATCTTAAAAAAGAGAAGAGAATTAGGACTGCCATCAACTTATCCAACTTTTTTCTGGCTTGGGTTTGTTCATATATAACGATAAATTGAAATTATAGAAAAAAGTCGTAACTTTATACGTAAAATTTTGAAGCTAAAAAAAAACCCAGATTAGTCGATGATAGCCCTAAATAGGTTGTTGAATAAATAGCGATATGTAGCAGGGCTGAAACTTAATTACAAAGATTCATTATATATATATATTCCAATTACTAATATTAGTGAAACATCCGGTTATACATACGTACAGTGCTAAAAAAAAGTATAATTTGATATGCTTTACAGAAAATGTTGTCATTCATTATATTTATTAGTTAATAATTTTTAATGTAAATTAAAACGTGATTGATTATATTTTCTATAAAGCATATGACAAATTATACTTTTTTTCAGCACTGTACATATATATTTCACTTGCGAGAACTCAAAATATATGCAAGGGCCATTTCTATCTGAACCTCTGTTTACATTGTATATATGGCTGTTTTGCTGTATTAATATTGATTTTACTGTTAGAGACAAACTGTGTTAAAAATTCGTTATGCACGTATTGTTATTTGCACTAAATTCATGCAAAATGCACAAAAAACAAAATAATATTCATGTATAAAAAAAATTTTCTGCACAACATATTTGTGCTGAATTTTTAACACTGGAGGCAAACTATGCTCTACAAATACACAGGCATATTTCATTATATATTCGAATATC